TTAGATGACATTTTGCACAGGCAGATACTGCAGTCAGAGAAGTTGAGTAACTTCCTCAAGTGTACTTGGGCATTAGAGGATTAAAACTCTTCCTTCTTTCCAGTGGTTTATAATTTACTTAGTTGGGGAAATAACATTCAGAGAACAATTAGTATGTGGAGAACAATTAGTAATATTCAGCAGTAAGTATTAATTTTGGTAGGGCAGACTATGAATAATATAGTAGTTAAATGACCTGGTTGAACTTCTTAGAGAGGTAGGACTTAGTCTAGGACTTTAAGGACAGTTATAATTGAGGAAGTAGAGAGGAAGGGAAAAGCATTTCAGGGAGGGTGAGTCACAGGAGCAGAGCCATGGGGATGGAACTAGTAATATTATTAACCTCTGAGAAGCTTTGCATGGTGTTCCAGTTGGCTTATGCAGGACTACATCCCTTATTAAGGTGGGGACCATAACCATTCCATTCACTGGGAATGTCCAGGGTCCACCATAGTGCCTGGCCCATAGCTAGTGCTTAACAAATATGTGTAAATGAAGTGAAAGAATCCACTCAATCCCAAGGTTTCCTTGTAATTTAACAGGATGGGATTTAAATGATCCAAGTGAGGGTTAAAGACAATTGGATAACCAATATGTTGAGCTCAGAAAGATTTTTACAGAAACTAGTAGCAAACAGTGATTAAAGGGATAGACTATAGAGAGTTTGGTCAGTTTAGGCTTGATGTGGTACAGAAAAAGCTATAAGGTGTCCCTGAGAGATCTTTAACAGAGGGAGGAAGAAGAGAAAAAAAACAATCTTTTGTAAAACTCAAGTGTGGTTGAATGGATAATGGACTAGAAGGGGGGCAGATAAGAGGATATTGCAGTAATTTAGGCACTCATTTGCTTATTCAACACACATTCATTGATATCACAGTCCACACCCGAGGCTAAACTGTGCTGGTGAAGGAGAAGATGAATAAGTTGTGAAGCTGGCCATTGAGGAGTTTATAGAGTGTGAGGAGAGCTAAGGAAAGCACACAAAAAAATTACAATTCAGAAGAGGGAGGTTTGAAAAAGAGGCACGAATAAAGACTAGAGACTCCAGGACAGGTTAAGATCTCTTCTGCCAAGGCATTAGGAAGGGTAAAGCAGTATGCTAGGGGAGCACTTCCGCCTGCCTCTGCCTCCCCATATCCCACCTCCTCTCTATCAGGTCACTTTACTTTATTACTTGGAATTCTTCTGTTTACTTCTTGTTATACTTATTTGTTACTTGGAATTCTTCTGTTTATTTCTTGTTATACTTATTTGTTGTTTGTCACTCCCTTCCCTTATTAGAATACAAGCTGCAGGATGAAGAGCTCTCATTTGTTCTGGTCCCTGCCATTTCCCTAAAGCCACACCCAGTCTCTGGCACTACTGTGGAGTTTTCAATAAACCTTTTGGAATGAATGAATAAAGTGGATCCCATAGGATGGAGTTGGATCCCATAGGGGATTTGGACATTCAATAAAAGGGGAGACAAATGTATTATTTTAAATGGAGGGTATGTGAAGTTCAACAGGAAGTAAAAGTGTATCTAGACAATGGATATAAAGAAAATTCTTCAAGATACTATGGTGGGATACACATGAAGAATAAAGGAGAGACAAAGCAAATGATGATTCCAAAGCTCATTCCTTTGAAGCCTGATAGAATGGGGATTGAGGAAAGGACAGATAAAAGGAAATTGAAAAGACAAACTAGTTTTTTAGGTAATGGTTGAAGTATCGGGGGTGATACCTGTGAGCCGTTGTAGAGCCTGGATTGAAGCGCATACTCCTCTCTCAACGAGGTGAATTGAGACTCCCCCGTGTGGAAGAGATATTAGTAATTTGGACCGTGACGGATTCTCAAAGGGAGAAAGCTCAGGAAAACAAGAACCTTTGAAAAGAGCCCACAGACTTGGGAACTGGGTGGGATGGATTCACAGTGGAGGTGGGGAAAAACCGACCAAGGGAGCAAGTCAGGAGAGGTGGCCATCAGTACCAGGTGCCCCAAAGAAGCCCCAAAACATGGAGGTCTTTAGGTCTTTAGGTTCATTCGATAGAGGGCAATGACACCTTCAATAAAATAATTTTACAGGACAGTGGGAAATATATTGTCGTGTATATGTATGTAAATGTATGTAAAACACTGTTACATGAACACACATACTCTTTGGCATGGTCTCCAGCCAACATATATTTATATATGATATATGTAATGTATAGGAATAAAGATTCCTATAAATAATATGTAATTCTTCCTCTTTTAACTAAATATGTTACTTCAGAATTTCTAATGGTTTTTGCCATTTTACAGTATCTACAAGGCATAAATTACTCATTTCATTAATGGTGGATATTTAAGTTTCTTCTTGTTTTTTAATATGCTATGACTTCTTGTAGATGAATTTTAATACACATTCCTGATTATTTTCCCATAATTCTATCTGAAAATATTTGAAATCTTTTTGATGCCTATTACTGAATTGCCTTCCTGGAAGATTGCACTAATTTGTACTCCTATCACCTGTGTTTCCGGGTTCCTATTTCCCCACACTCTTAAACTTGTGTGGCTATTAGAAACAAGTAAATAATTTTTACCAGTTTGTGAATGGCATTTCTTGAAGCTTATTAAAGCTTTCACACGTGTGTTAGTCAGTTTTCTGTATTGTAACAAGTACCTGAGATTAATCAATTTATAGAGGAGATGTTTATTTTGGCTCAAATTTTGGAAATTTCAGTCCAAGAGGTTTGGCCATGTTGCCTTTGGGCCTGTGGCAGGGCTGCACATCACCGTGCGAGTGCAGGGCGGAGCAAAGAGCCCACTAGATGGCGTCTAGGAAGCATAAGAAGAAAAAAGAAGAGGGCTGGGAATTTAACTCAGCAGCACAGCACCTGCCTGGCAAGTGCGAGGTCCGGAGTTCGATCCCCAGTACCAAAACAAAACAAACAAACAAAAACAAAAACAAAAAGAGAAAAAAGAAAAGACCACAGTCCCATAACCCTCTTCAAGGGCACGTCCATAACAACCTAAGACTTCCCACTAGGTCCCACCCCTTGAAGGTTCTACCACCTCCCAATACCTCCACAGGCTGGGGACCAACCTTTAACACATGGGCCTTTGGGGGACCGTCTAGAGCTGAGCTCTAGCAATATGCTTATTGGCCATCAATATAGATCCTTTTGTGATTTCATTATTAATAAAATATATAATTTTTGTCCTAGATTCATTTTGCAGAGCTTGCCAAAATGGCTGATTAATTTATGCTCGAGAATGTATTTTTCTTTTCTTTTTTTTTTTTTTTTGGTGAATTGTCTCCTGTCTCTTATTTAAGATAAAAAAATGTTGTTGTTGTTTTTAGGTAGAAATATTCATTTAGATTTGAAGGTAGAATGAAAGTTGCTGAAAATGTTTCAGGGACAAGGTATATACTTAGAGTTTAGGTTTTGAAAGAGATATAAATTGAAGTGGAAGAAAATTGAGCCAAATGTGGAAGAATGAAAAGGGAGGGAGGGTATTGGCCTGCTAAGATAACTGTGGCTCATTACTGAGCTCTAAGAACATCATTCTTTAATTAGCCTTCTGAAAAACACAAATAACTAAGATTGTTTTTGTTTTTGATCAATGTCTCCAAGGCAGATCTTCAACAGAATAAAGAAAATGAATCAATAAAAGAAATCAACCATCAGGTTATTTAATTACCAATTTTAATTCAAAAACCCCAGTAAATCATATGGGCAAATGTTAGTAGACTCATTAAATGATTGGTTTCTTATGGAAGCTTCTTATGGAATTGTGCATACTTTAGATTTTTTTTATTTCAGCCATGTGAGCCACCACTTAAATTATTCTGCTAGCTTATTTGAGTCAGAAGCTGGGTTCTGTAAGGAGTGGTATTTAATAAGTGTGTTGAATGGATAAATGGATGAATTAATTCCAGGCATAGATTCAACTGTACTTGATCAAACAAGTCATGAATTTACATTAATCAGGTGCAAGAAAATCATAATTACTTTGTTATGGCCATATCTGAATTTTAAAAATTTTATGAAACAAAAATTCACAACAAAATAGTAAGAGAATAGCAATAGTCACTACATAGTGTATTGTTATCTTTGAAGTAGTTACGCAGAGTACAAGACATTGACAAAAAAGATTCTTACAAAGGAACAGATATTAGCACAAAACTTTCTTTTTAGTGATCTAAGAGAAACTAGTACTATAAATGAAACAAATTAGCATGTTTATCAAAATAGTTTTGAAGCAATGGAATAGATAGTTTAGAAACTGAAAGTATATAGATGAAATTATTTTAAGCGATAAAATTTTAGGATCCATTTGAAGTCCTCCTAGAAAATGTAATGAAGCCGAACAGTTTATGAGTTAGCATTTTATGATAAGATAACATTGCGAAGTCTTATAACTTTCTACTGCTACATTTTGAAAAGCCAATGAATTAGTTGAAGAAATTGGTACTTGCTAAAGACAGGGAAGGGATGTTTCTTTTCTTTTTTTTAATTTTTTGTTTGGTACCGGGGATTGAACTCAGGATGTTGTGCTTGTGAGGCAGGCGGCAGGCCTGGGATCTTTCTATTTTTAGTGATAGGTAAATTATTTTACAAGAAAGTTCATTTTGGCACTTGGAAATAGCATTATATTATAGGATTCTTACCAATTGTTATTTGTTTGGTCAAATTGGTGGTGGATCCCACGGCTAAATACTTTATTATTTGCTTTTGTAGAAATTTATGATTTTTTTTTTTTTTTTTTTTTGGTACCGGGGATCGAACTCAGGTCCTTGCGCTTGTGCAGCAGGCGGTGAAACCACTGAGCTAAATCCCTGGCCCAGAAAGGTAGGATTATTAATACAATATTATTAGCCTGCACCTGAATGTACACACACACATGCTGCAGGTAACTGGAGGGAAGAGGTCTGGGTCAAATTGAGATCCATGCAGCTCCCTGTAACTTCCGTGATAATGAAAAAGGACTCATTGCTTTGGAGTGCTCACCTCCATTTGTGGTACTGGTTTCTCTCTCTGAGAGTGACCCTGATTGTTTCCAGGGCTTGGGGAGCTGATATTTGTTCTGGATCTGCAGGGTCCTCTTCATCATGCAGAAATTCCCTGGTGTACTTCTTGGCTGTGGTTGAAATAGATACAAGTCTTACTGGGGACAGATGCCCTTGACTGGGCATGTTCCCTGGACTTCTGAGCTTGTTTTTGGGTTTGCACGCTGCTGTATTATCTTCCCCTCCCCCTCCCTCCCCCGCCCCCACTTCCTTTTTTTTTTTTTTGTGGCACTCGGTATTGAAACTAGAGCTTTGCCCATGCTAGGCAAGCATTTTACTACTGAGCTACACCCCCATCCCTTTAAAATCTTTTGTTTTGAGGCAGGATCTTGCTAAGTGGCCCAGGCTGGACTTGAACTTGTAATCCTTTTGCCTCAGGGTCCTGAGTTGCTGGGGTCACAGGCTTGAGCCACCATGCCTGGCCTGCTGTATCTTCTCTTGCAGGCTCTGGTATAGTGCACTAGATTGGATCACATCCCTCCGCACACAGCAGGGCTTCTGGCCTCTCTGCATCCTTTCTTGAGCACCTGGCGGGGGACTGAAGAATCATAGTTTTTCTTGGTCTGACTTTGTTGCTTATCACTTTCTCCTGCAGGCTCACAGGGTCTTTCATCCTTTTCTTCCAAAGTGGCTGGTTCCTCTGCTTCTAGGTGTGTCTTGAGGAAGGCTGACCTGTCCTCACCTGGATTTTTAAAGGGAATTTCCTGGAGCTCTGGTGCTCCGTCTTCCTCTTCTTTGGTCACTGGGGCCTGGGTCTTTTGCTCTTTTCTGTTGCCTCCCTTTTTGGGGAGCTATGTTACAGTAAAGTTGGTATCCAGGTCACCTGGGACTTCTGCCTCCAGGGACTTTCTATTTTTGCCTTTTCTTGTGGACTTCTGAACTTCTAGGGGTCTACTGGGCTCCACAGCTGTATCTGGGCTTTTGATCCCTGTGCTGTGACTCTTGAGGTCCACTCCTGCAAGCTCTTCCTGTTCCCCTGGGAGGCGAATATCTGCTTCTCTGAGTGACAGCACCACTGTGTCCTGTGCGCTATTGTTCTCACCTGGTGCTCCGTGCTTCTGGAGATCCGGGTTATCGTGGCGACTTTCTTGCACAGACCTTTTGTGTGGGTGTGCTTGACTCTTGGAATCCCCTTGCACACGTAATTCACCTGTGTCTGAGCTGCTGTCGCCTTCCTCTGGAGGCAGATTGCTGGGAGTTGCACAAGACCCCTTGCTATTCTGTGCCTCAGGATCCTCTCCCTGGCAGCCATCTTCTTCTCCAACTGGCTTGTCACGAGGCTTGGCGGCCCTGCTGTATTCTCCTTCAGAACGCCTATCAGGTGGAGCAGATTCTTGGGTTCTTCCTCTTGTTCCTGGTGCCCCCTTGGCTGCAGGGCCATTTTTGCTGTCCACAAATGCTGGTGCTGTGTCCTCCTCAGCGTGTCTCATCTCTTCTCCTGGGACTGGGGGTGCGTTCAGTTTCAGGGTGATTCTGATTTCTTTCTTCTGTGCTTAGACCCAGGGTGTCAGAATTTCTTTCTTTGGATGATCTTTGGAGCTCCTGATGCTTCCCATGCTGCGTGTGGGCTTCCTGGACTGGAGGCCGAGTTTTCTTCACACGTTCTTTCTGCTGTTCTGGTCCACGTGCCTCAGGATCTCTACTCTCCTTCCTTTCAGCTTGAATATCAGGTGTTTCTGAGACATCTTTGCTACCACCTTGGACTTGTGAGTTCTTTATTTCATGTTCTCTTTTCTGTGCTGGTGACTCTTGGGTTTTGGATATCCTACCACAATCCTCAGGTTCATCTGTATCCTTAGTCTTAGGTGATGTCCTATTGACATCCTTTCCTGGCTCTGGAGTCTCCAACATTCTTTGGTCATCCTCAGGGTTAGCTGATTTCTGTGTCTGAGATGGTTTCCTGGCAGCAGCTTGTTCTAGGAGGTCAGCATGCTCTGACCTGGGTTCATCTTCACCTTGAAGGTGTGTTTCTTGTGCTTTAGAGTGGTTTTTAATATACTCTTTCCTGGTACAGCCTCCTGATCTGGAAGTCTCTGCATTGTTTCTTGTTTCAGTTTCAAATTGTCTTCCTGTTCTTCAAATTGGTCACTTGTCTTATTACCACTTTCCCTTCTGACTGGTTTAGCGTCCTCTCTGGGGATCTGCTTTGTAGGACTGCTAGTCTCTTCTGATTCTGCTAATGGTTTATTTGTCTCAATTTGGGCTCTGTTGTCTTCCATTGCTGGCACATCTCGGGCCACTTCTTGGCTCTGTTCATCTCCTTCCAGGTATTGGTTCCCAGGGCCCCTGGGCTTCCATGCTTCTCTTGGGAGGTTGTGAGTCTTGATGTCTTCCCATGAGTGCACTTGATTGTGTCCAACGGCCTCGCTTTCTTCATCCCAGGTGAGCGGGGATGATGATGCTATTCCTGAAGGAAACAACACCTTTTCTTGAGTTGGCAGAGTTCCCACCACTTGCTGACCATTTCTTGTGACCACCTGAAGATTCTCATCATTTGACTTGTCCTTTTCTGACTTAGATACCTCTCTTGGTTCTGAACTTAGTAATGACTGTATATCAAGATAACAGAGGCTCAGTAAGCTGTAGAGTGCAAGAACAAATTTGTCAAAGTTGATGGTACCATCATTGTCAATATCCAGAAGATTCAGGTGTCTCTCCACAGCATGAATGACATGTGGCTGCATGAAAACACAGTGAGAAATAGCATATTCATATGTGGTCAAGTGTCCTTCATGAATAGCTCCCAAGAATTCTTTTATTTCCAGTGCTAGACATCAAACCCAGGGGCTTCCTCATGCTAAGCAAGTACTCTACCTCTGAGCTACATTCCCAGCCTAAGAATCCTCTTTTTTTTTTTTATTGGTCCACAACTTGACATTTATGAAACATACCAGCTAGAATCACATTGCAGTCAATTTGTCCAATAATGGTATTACTCTGATAATTATTAAAATCTGTTCCAGGTATATATATTGAAAATATTTTCTTTTGCATTCTTGTCCAAGATAGGTACAGTACTTTGGAGAAATTGTACTTATCCCTTCAGGATGTCTGTATGTACATATATACACACGTGTGTATCTGGATCTGTAGCTCTACATGCCTTCTATATACAGCTACACACACACACACACACACAAACACACGCGCAGCTGGGAACCTGTGCATGTGTGCGTCATCACAAGCACACATTGGAAACATCAGCACTGCAAGATACTGGTCAGATTCTACTTCACTCGTCACTGGCTGCACTCGTTCCCCTCAATTGACCTTGATTAAATAAACATTTTGATATTGTCTCTGACCCTACGGGGGACTCATCTAGGCATCAGCAGCCGAAGTGCCTCGGACGGAAACTTTTTTACGCATTGTTTCTAGTTCTTTCTGAGTCTCATCTTCCATTCTCCTAATGTCTTCCATTGTCAGATCAATCCACTTGTCAATCCAACAAAAAAGCTGGCGATGGAAGTTTGTAAATATCCTTTTAAGAATCCTCTTTTTTTGATTCCATTCCTCAAGCATATATGAAATTTCTCAAATAAGTAAGAATTTATTGGTTCTGGGTGCCATTTTCACCAGAGGGCTATGACTAAGGTGCATTTATACCACTTGAGGGCTGTGATGAGGCGCGCAGTGATTCACGACTCCACTCGAAAGCCTCCTTTGCTGAAGCAGTAGTCCCAGTGACGGAAACCTCATTTTCTCCGGGGCACTGTTCTTGGGGCTAAGTGACTGCAAGGGTTAAAGCAAACAAGACTGCAATTTTTGTCTCAAAAGTCAGCAAGTGCTGAGAGCTGGCGACCAAGTATAAATGGGCAGAGGTCACGTGAGCCCACCTTCCGTGGATTATGCGGAAGTGGCAAGTGGGGAAGAATTTCCAGAGCTCCGTGAGGGCCTCACCTGAAGAACGTCCCCCATCTCGCCCTGAAGGAGCTGTTTCAGTTCTCTGCAGGTCAGTGTCGCCTCATCCTCGTCCTCTCTGGCGTACTTGTGGAATGCTTCCGTTATGCAGACAATAGCGCTCAGCAGCCCAGCCGAGGCATCTTTGCAAACTCAGGGGAGACTGTGAGCGAGGAGAAACACAGCTCATTTCCCAGGCTAGGTCCTTCAGGAAGGGGACACCGAGATTGTCCTTTCTGCTCCTACCCAGCTCCACTTGCATCACCTGCTGTCTTAGACTATTGTAGCTGCATGCCAGGAGTCATTTAGTTTTGCACTGGACACTGTGGTGAGATGAGACCTCTGACAGGCTGGCATATTGTAGAAGAGACTTTTTTTTTTTTTTGGTACCGGGGATCGAACTCGGGTCCTTGCGCTTGCCAGGCAGGCGGCGGAACCACTGAGCTAAATCCCCATCCCTGTAGAAGAGACTTTTCACCCTACCTGCAGTAAATAGCAATATTCAGGTGTTCAGAGAACAGTTTATTGCAAGAAAAGGGTGAAAAAAGAACAAGCTCAAACGTAAGGATTGAAATGTACAAATGAAACCGACCCCGGAGGATCATCCTTTCAGCGTCTGCCTGCGTGCTTCCCGCCCTGGCTCAGTCTTTCCTCTCTGCTGAGAAGAGAAATGAACTCACTGGCAACGCAAAGTGAAGACCTCTCAGTCATTACCTATCATTTAAATGACTCTACGATTTCTTTTGAATGTAAATCAGAGTCCTGTGTCTTATTAAATAATACTCATGCCTATGCCATTCAAACCGTTTGTATTTTTTTTAAAAAAGAAAACAATCAAAGAAGTTCCATAAAAACGAATGCATTTTGGAAGTCTGCATTCCCAGTTTAATATCACGAATGGAGGTTGACTTAGAGTGCGTTTCTTCTGAGCCATTAACACAGACTCACACATAAGCAAAGCTGCAGTGGGATCCTGAGTATGCTCAGCAGGTCATCTATGAGACTTACCTGGTTCAGGAGTGAGAGGCAGCAGGAGCTGTAGCAGAGGCTGTGAAGCAGAGGCAGATGCTGGAGCCTTTTATTGGGGCCCCGATTGCGCAGCTAAGAAGGAGACACCCTCTGGGTCTAACGACCTGATTCATCACCATGAGCCCTGTCCCTCCTTCCTGGCTGTTTGACAAATCTTAGGGCTGGTAGAGACCTCAGAAGTCATATGGTTCTGCCTGCAGGATGGCCTGTATTTGACCTAACCATGAGACATGGGTGTCTAATATGTGTTTAAAAATACAGGCCTCATTTAGTCATTTGACAAAAGTGGAGACACCAGTAGATTCAGCTATTTTAATACTATATTCTCCTTACCTAGAGGCACAGTTAGGGTGAAAAAGTCTTGCTGGATATGCAGAACTTTGCTTACTTAAGATGTGCTATTGAAAAAGTCTGCTTTTAAAAGGCATTTTTATAATTCAAGGAGCTTAGAAATGAGCATCCATATTACCATGTTCTCTCTGTAATGGAGAAAGGGAGACATAAAAGCTGAGGTGAGGACGGAAGTTGAGTCTGAGATGCTGAATGGGAAAAGCTTTATTACCTCATAGATCTGAGTCCCTCGCAGTACAGCATATTTAATTAACAGGAGAATTAGAGTCAGTTGTTTTCTTAGGCGTGAGTAGAGCATGTTTTAAAACACTTGTGCCTCTTTTTCGAAGGATGTAAGAAATAGACAACCGATCATGGAAATGAGTATAAAGACAAAGACCAAATTAATGAAGGTGGGAAAGGTGGTGGGAATTAAATTAGAAAACCGAGGCTAAAGGATACATTGCAATCAAGCCACCACATTGCTCTGAGTTTCCAGATAATCAAGACAAGCACAAGGTAACTGAACATGGGAGGGGGGAAGGGGGCCCACTCTGATAATTTACATCTCTGTACAACTTCTCAGCATTTCTCTAAGAGGGGAGAAGACTTCTACTGAGAATTGGGATTGGCATATGAGGGTCATCTTAATTCTGATTAGTTAATATCCCCTAAATACCAACTATTTCTCAATAACTATGCCAGGCCCTGGGGTATTGAGAGTTGAATAAATTATATCTCTGCCCTGGATTTCACAGGCCAGTCTTAAGAATAAAACTGCGTATGTTCAGGCTAAACTGGAAAGAAAGACTTAGTGGAGATATAAATGACTGCATTTAAATAGCTGAATGGTTTTCACAGGTGTGGAAGAGTAAGGAACTAATGTTCTTCAAACACGCATGACATGTCAGCTGCTTTCTATGGGCAGTCTTAGGCCCTTATAAGTACTTATTATTCTCTGTTAACAGATAAGAAAGTTAAACCTCTCAGCTGTTGAGCAATTTCCTATAGATGTTTACCTAATAATGATAGAGGCAGGATTCAGAATTTAAATGTCTCAGGAACATATGTCTTTGAGCCCATGTCTTTCCATTAACTTGAGTTCCTTATTCTATGTAATGCCAGAGAATACAGCTAGAATTAGTGGTTGAAACTTTCTAGAAAGAAGGCTCCAGTTCTTATGAAGAACTTTCTGATGAGTAGTGTTGTCTAACGATATGCACTGTTCCTAAAGCAGACACCTGTGTCACTGGAACTGTCCACAGGAGGCTGAATCACTGTTCCTGGGCTGGATTACAGGAGGAGTTGTGTCTTGGAAAAGGTAAGACAGGTTCATCGCGAAGAGCGCAGGACTCTTCCAACTTTAAATCTCTTTGGTTTTATGTTATAGTCCCTATTTAGAAAGTCAAAAGTGGATCTTGCATTCTTTCTAACAATGTAAGGGCTGAACCTCAAGCCCGTTTATAGGTACTCCTACTTTTTCAGCGTTTACTTGAGATCATTGAATTAATGCCCATGCGCTGGGTGGGTAGTGTGACTCAGAGACATGCGAGAAGATGGAAGAAGATTGCTTTGTATCTAGTGTTTTATAAAAATATTTAGATTGTAAGAGAATGAGCCACAAACAACTCTAGCAGTACCAAAGAGAAGACCTATTTCCCTTTCTTTTCCTTCTAAACAGATCTTTGGAATAATCCCTCTATGATGTTATCACCTCTCTGATATTGTATGGGTATGATACAGAGATGAGGGAGGAAAGAGATGAGAAAAAAGAGAAAGACCACAACAAAATCTGTTGACTACAGTAGACATATCTTTAAAAGCCTATTACTTCTCACAGGTGACAATGGAAGTTTTGTATTGAGTCTTCTGATAAAAACCCATATGATGGGTACTTTGTAAAAGAATGGCCAATAAATCAATTTTTAATGACTAAAATACTGGAAAATTTAGCCACAAAGAGAGGGCTTCAGATTATATTTATATTTTCCTTATTTTCACTTATCACAAAAGTCCTAAGCATTTGTTCAGAGCCAATGTATATTCTTAACACTCCTCCTCAGATCCTCTAAAATGAAGGCATCAATGCATCAGAAGAAAAAAGCCCCACTAGAATTATAAAGAGAAGCGGAGGAGAATTGTACCCGCGAAATTTCACTATAGCTACAGAAATTGGGAAGTGGATGGTCCCGTGTTCGTGACCGACACAGTTGGAGAAAGGCACAACCTGGCCTGTGTTGAGGGCAGGAGAGTTGAAGCAAACCTGACTGCCAGAAGCTGGAGAAGGGCTGGACCCAGAATTAGTGTGAGAGGTGAAGGAGAAGTGGGGCTATAAACGGGAAGAGCAGCAGCAGGCTTGTACAGGGGGCGTGTTCAGCGGTCTTCCCTATTTCCCTCCTCCACTTTACAGCACAGAGCATAGACACTGGGCATTTACCACCTGACCTCTCCAGAAAAGCCCTGGGCGGCTCTTTCCTAAAGAAACTGAACAACCTTCCTAGAAATGCTAAATGGAATCTTCTTGAGGGCAGGACTCTGTGTCACCAGTTAGGAGACAATTTGGGCTACAGTAGATGTTCTAGAATGTTTGTTGACCAACTAATAGATTGACCGAGAGCTAAGGTGTCTAGAACAGATCCTGGTGTTTCAGGAAAACTATCTCCATTATGGCACTTGGGGGCAGGGAGAGAATCTGCAGCCTGCTGCCATGTTCAGTCATATCTCGGTACTTGTTGGCTTCAGAACCTGCCAAGACTGGTACTTGTCGAATTTTGATGAGAACATTCTTTCAGCCGTGGGTGCTTGCCTGGGATTCATTGCACTTGATAGAACTTGCATGAGCCAAAACACTGCCCTGCAAAAGAAAAATGCTTCATCACTCATCACTTGCTCACCACTGGGCACCCCTGGCTCCCCATGACACAGAGGCAGATGTTCCAGTCTCAGGGTAGCTTGTAAGCAGTACCGAACCCTCACATGTTTGTTGGTACTGTCTTGTACCTTTGTTGCCAGTCAGTTGAAGGTTCTTTTGCTCAATTCAGATAGAAATCATGAATTGGCAAAGTATAGCTCAGCTAGTCGCCCTGATGCCACCAGTTGGCATCAGTTAATGCTGGATGCCAGCATAGACACTGCTGGCCACTGGTCTTTGCCACTGTTGGCTGGTGCAGTTTGACACCAGCTTGTGCTAGATGTCACCAGGGAACTGCTAGGTGCTGGCTTCTGTTACTGCTTCACTGGCTGCTGGTCTTGGGAGCACTTCTGTGATGTCTTAGTTACTTTTCTCATTGCTGAGACAAAATACCCAACACCCACAAGTTAAAGGGGGAAAGGATTATTTCAGCTCACAGTTTGTAGAGGTTGCAGTCCATAGTTGGCTTGCTCCATGGCAGGGTGGCCTGGCAGAGGGGCATCACAGGAGCAGCAGTTCATCACAGGGTGGGCAGAAGGTAGCAAGTAACAAAGCCGGTGTAAGCGAGACTGCCTTTCCCTTTTATGCCATCCAGGGTAGAACCCTTTTGGGGACTAGGGTGGGGCTTCTGTCTTTAGCACATTCATTCATCCACACCAGAACTATGCTGATTGCAATCAGCGGACTAATTTAGTAATGCACACCCTTGATCCCAGGATCACATACCAGCTCTGAAAATCCCCGCCTCAGAGTGCATGAGGCCTCGGGAGGACATGTAGGTCCGTGATGTCACAAGGGCTAACAGCCTCCTGTGTTTATTGCTCTTTCTTTTAAAGTGTTTGCTCTCCCCACACTACTCAGGATGAGAATCTCAAGTAGATTTAAAGGACATTCTGAACCCACACTACTCAAGAAATAAATCACAAGCAGATTTACAGGACCACCTGAACAATTCTTTATTTTAACAAGGCCTATGCAACAGTACAGAGGGGTCAGTGTGAGGGAAGTGCTGCTTACATGTGATCCATTTGTTAATTCTTGGTAGTGCATTGTGTGTCACTGGGGCTGTGTTCAGAAAGTCCTTGCCTATGCCTAAGTCTCTAAGAGTTTTACCTATTTTTACCTTCCAGCAGATCAAGTGTTTCCATTTCTTTCTCTTTTTCTTAGAGGCGTGGGAAGGGTTTATTAGGCAGAAATTTTAGGACCGAGTTAAGAGTGGAGTGTGGGTCCTTAGAGAAATGTGACACTGCAATTTGGAACCGAGAACCTATGTGTTTTGAGTGGTGGAAATCTGTGTTCTTTGATAATCTATAGTCTTGGTCTTGGATTTGTGGGTAGGGGAAGATGGCCCACCTATAGTAAAATAACCTGTTCATAGTAAGGTGGGGGAAATCCCCATTTACCTGTGATTTATTCACAGGTAAAAGAGGATCATTTCAAGTAAAAGGGAATGGCTAAACCTATTTGTAGGTGCAAGGAATGGCCCAGGTTTATTGTGATCTGGGACAAGAGAAAAAAATGAAATTGGGCTCCTGTCCTCAAGCTGCATATTTCAATTTTAAAATTATGATTTTTTTCTACTTTCTGTTTATTTTTTATTTCTTCTATACTACCTCATTTCCCCCAACCCTGAGACTTTGATCCCTTATTCTTTTTTTTTTTTTTTTGGAACTGGGGATCGAACTCCGGTCCTTGCCCTTGCACAGCAGGTGGCGAAACCACTGAGGTAAATCCCCGGCCCTGATCCCTTATTCTTAAGGGGTGCAAAAAACCAAAGGTCTGTCTTTGTACAGCTACTTCAGGATAATGAGGTACACTGATGCTGCCTAGCCAGGGATCAAAAGGCACATGTTAACTAATGTAAGGAAACAAAGAAAGATGGGCTTTGCTGTTTGATGGATGATCATCTTTTGATAGTTTGGAAAAGAGTACAAAGACATTAGCAAGTCATTGGTGCTTAAACTTTATTTTATAATCTTACTAAATAGGCCAGGGCTGGAAATTAACAGTAGTATTAACAGTAATACTGAGCTGGGCATGCTGGTGCAGGCCTGTATCCTAACATTTGGTAGGCTGAGGCAGGAGTATTACCTCAAGTTTGAGGCCAGCCTGGGCTACATAATGAGTTCAAGGCCAGCCTGAGCCATGCAGCGAGACTCTGTCTCACAAAAAGAAGGCATAACAGTAATACTGATGAATAGTGGCTCCAAAAAATGGTGGCAGTCAGTAACCTTTAGCATGAGCCTTTAATCTTTAATATAACCTCTATTTGTTGAGATGTTTATCCAAATATAGCAGGTGGAGTTTAAGAGCAAATAGACTCGTCCCTGTTTTGTCAATGAGAAATTTAAGGTCCTTTCTTTTTTTGAGACCGGGTCTCACTATGTAGTTCAGGCTGGCCTTGAACTCACTGTGTAGCCCAGGCTGGCCTCAAACTTACAGCAATCCTCCTGCTCAGCCTCCTGAGGGCTGGGATTACAGGCGTGCACCACCACGCCTGGCTAATGTCCCCCTACCGGGGATCGAACTTGGGACCTTGTGCTTGCAAAGCAGGTGACAGAACTACTGAGCTAAATCCCAGGCCCCCTCTTTTTAATTATATAAATGATAAATATGTGAAGTAATGGGTACATTAATTATCTTGATTTAATTGTCCCACAAGAGCGATATGTCAAAGAATCAGAATGTACACAATAAATATATAACACTTACATGTATTAATTAAAATAAATTTAAAATAACTCTGACATACTCCAAAGAGATTAAATATGACAAGACCAGGTGCTTTAAAAAGGGGAAATTTGGCAGGGATTTAGCTCAGTGGTTCTGGCGCCTGCCTCGCAAGCACAAGGTGATAAGTTCGATCCCTGGTTCCAACAACAACAACAATAACAAGAAAAGAAAGGGGGACAATTGGAGAACAAAAATATATTTATAGAGCTGGGGATGTAGTTGAGCAGTACAGCAACTGCCTGGCAAGCACAAGGCCCTGAATTCAATTCCTGGTACAAAAAATAATGTATTTGGCCAGGGATTTACCTCAGTGGTTCTGCCGCCTGCCTCACAAGTGCAAGGACCCGAGTTCGATCCCCAGTACCAAAAAAAAAAAGTATTTATGGATTAAAAGTAACATAAAAATTTAAATTAATAATAGAAAGCCTCGACATAGACAAAATCTTCTAGAATAGTGTTAAGCAATATAACTTTAGATAATTGCACTGAACAACATGGTAGTCACTGTATCTATATATATTGATATCTGTTAAGTGCTTGAAATGTAACTAGTGTGGCTGAAGAATTAAATTTTCATTTAATATTCATTAGTTTAAATTTGAATGTAAATAGTCACACGAGGATAGTGACTACCTTATCAAACAGTGTAGTTTTAGAATTTAAAGAGAAAGAAATGTTAGTGGTGGGAGAAA